CCCCCCCCCCCCCCCCCCCCCCCCCCCATGAACGATCGGTTCGTGCCTCTGGTATGTGTGTCACGCCATCTGTTTCGCGCGTCAGACTACGGTATATGTGGACGCATGGTTTCACAGAGAGAAGGGCCCGCGGGAGTTTTTTTCCCCCACGGTCAATTTAGAATAGAAACGTGACCCGCCTCGAAGTATGCGCGCTCTACCTAGCCATTTGTGGAGGCAAACATTGAATGACCCCCCCTTCCTCCCCCCCCCGCCTGTTGTAAATGCTTTGACGCCGAAGGTGTTCGCGTACCGGAGGCCCGTGATGATCGGAGTATTGCTGATGCTGATTCAGGTACGCCTTTCAGACACCAAGGTGTTACCATGGTTGCCACCAAACACCTGGAAATGCAACGCTATCACCCGTTCACCCCGTATGCTGTCATTCGGTGATCACAGCAGCTGACGATTTGGCGCACGCACAAGGTTGGGTCAGAGGGGGAAAGACCCCGGGACCAAGTTGACCACCCCTAAGGTTGACACCAATAGTGGCCACACTGCGCGCGGTTGCTCGCTTTACCCTGCCGGGGTAGTGCACGATATGGGGCAAAATCAATCTGTTGTCGCGTACAGCATGCCGCGTTTCCTTGTTACGTTTTCACCACCCTCACGCTGCACGCATCACGCACGCACACTCAGGCGTTCACGGGAATCAACACGGTCGTCTTCTACTCGACGACCATCTTCGAGCTGGCAGGCGTCGACAACACGGTAAGAGAACGGAAACGAGGACCTGTACAGCAGTAGTCATCGGAAAAGTTCCGGTGTGTTTTTTCTTATGGTTCAGCGCGCGACGGCTTGCTTGGTTTGGGTCTGAAGAACGGGAGGGCTGAACGTGCCAAGAAGCAAAGTAGACAAGTATAGAGTTGGCTTAGGGTAAGGAATAAGGTTTAAGGTTATGGCCCGAATCGCGATTGGGGTCGGGCGATATACCGCAATCAGGGTTAGAGTCGAGAGCAACCAACCTTTCCAGAACGTGTCTAGAGCATGCCCTGGTGCAATACATTCCGTGTCTAGTGAGAAACTGCTTTTCAAGGTGGCTTCGGTCAGCTTCTTCTCGATGATGACGAATATTGGGTGTTCTCTGCGCCGCGGCTCTACGTGCTAGCCGAGCACACGCGTAGGACTTGTATGACGCGAGAGTGCTTGCGGGGCGGTCCAAACCTCGAACGGGTGTTCGTTTTGGCTTCAGCAGCCCTCTCCCTTCTCGTGGCGCCCGATATCGCGAACTCTCGACCCAGGACAGCACGGCTTCGCCGCATCCCCGCGATGACGACTCTGCGCAGTCCGCACGCCGTCAGCCAGTTCGACGTTTTTCAATGAACTCGGTCCTTTTTTTTTTTGCTTTGGCGTGACGGCGATAAGACACGAATCTCATCATTACTGCTTGAGTTTCCCGGCAGTCGACGTGTGTGACACGGCGGACTGAGGTTTCTCTTCGTCCGAGAACAAGGCGGGCTTTTTTTTCGACAGCGTGGCGTGCCGTTGATACTGAACACATAATTCGACCCATGAACGGTTTGTGTTATCGCCGTCGCCACCACCGCCGTCCTAACGTGCGGGGGCCAACTCGCACTGCCACAAAAAAATATATATATATGTGCAGGTTTTGGCGACCGTTTCCGTGGGACTGACCCTCGTCGTGATGACCTCCGTGTCCGGGAGCCTGGTCGACAAGGCCGGGCGGAGAAGCCTCATGCTGATAGGCACGCTCGTCATGGCCCTCGCCCTGGCCATCCTGAGCGGCTCGCTGCTTTGGCTCAACGCAACGCCTCGGGCGCAGGGATGTCTGGTGAGCCACTGCTGTTGTCGACGTCGTTTTTCACGTTCGAAATGTTTTTTTCATAGGCACGGCAATGTAGTACGATTAGTTGTTGTTTCTGTCGTGACTTCAAAGTTGTGGTGTTGGCCTCTACTACCAAGCGATTCCGCATTCCGATGAAAAACCGTGTGAGCTACTGTCGCCTGCTCATGGTGCCGCATGGGTTGGGATACTCGACTGCTGACCCTCATTTCTTTGCTCGGCTACGTATTGAGCGCGGGGTCATTCCTCCTGTGCGTCCAGCGTCATACTTGAAGGCGGTCTTTTGCTTCCGCTATGAAGGGCATGTGGGATATGGGGAAGGGACGCTAGCGAACAGGGTTAATACTTTCGTTAGACCCTGTTGAACAACTCGAAGACCTACACCTTTTCCCATCGCACCCTTATGTGCGTTCACGGGAAAGTGCGCCTGTTTCTTTCGTCCCCTCTCGCTTTCCGGCTAGACATTTACTCGCCGCCACGCTTCGCTCCGCCCCCCTCGCCCCTCCTAGTCTGCCCTTGATCATGCCCTCCTCTCCTTTTTGCCGCGATTGCGATAATCGCTCTCTTCTGTATTTCTGAGCGTTTTCTGTCGTTCCGTCTCCTTTCAGAACGTGTTTTCCTCTGTCTCTTTTGGTCTGCATTTGATAGTATCACCCCCCCCTTTCCCCCCCTCTCTCGTCTCTTCGCGACATTCCTTCCCCCCCCCCCCCCCCCCCCCCCCC